GGTGAACATGGTGGAGATGAAATATTCCCCATTTTCCCAGCACCACCTGTATTTTGTCCCTGGGTTGAGGCAGGGGGGTGGCGGGAGTGTGAGCTGACCACCTCTCTCCTGCAGCGTGGGGGCTCGGCGCACAACTGCGGGAAGCTGAAGGTGGGCCACGTCATTTTGGAGGTGAATGGCACGGGGCTACAGGGCAAAGAGCATCGGGAAGCCGCCCGTATCATCGCTGAAGCCTTTAAGCTGAAGGAAAAGGACTACATTGATTTCTTGGTCACAGAATTCAACGTCGCCCTTTAGGACCCCGAATGGGTTTTGGGAGCGTGGTTTGGGACGGGGAGCACCCGAACGGGGATGAAAGGCAGCGCTGAGATGTGAAAGCAGCATCCCACCACACAGAGCCCTCGCCCGCTGCACCACCCTGCACTCACAGACACCCTCAGCTTGTCCCTGAATGCCCCCTCACCCGCCGCAGACTCTCACCACCTGGGCAGGGCAGGCTGAGACTGGGCAGAAATCAGTGCACATCCCTTACAGCCGCCATCCCTGTCCTCTCTGGGGTGGGGGAGCTGCCCTTCGGGAACACCCTCTCCCCCTCGACCAGGCCGGGGACGGGGCAGAGCAGCAGAGGTCCGGGTGTCCCCACTGTCACTCGAGTGCCACACGCAGAGCAAGGGGGGCCCGCGCCTCAAGGCTGGAGGGATTTTCGGGGGGTCACTGGGGTGCTCGCCCCATGCCCGGGGACGTGGGACAGGCCATAGGTGGGGATGCGGAGAGAGCAACCGGAGGCCTTGTGCATCGCTGGCAGCATCGTCGTATGTACATACACAGAGCTTGTGCGTTTAATTTTTCAATAAATCTGTCGGGATGGAGAAAGACTGGGCCTGGCAGGACAGGGGCACGGGGAGGGGCCTGCAGGGCGCCCGGCCCCGCCCCGGGGCGATGCATAAATTACGCCAATGAGCTCCATCGGCCGCGGCTGTGATTGGCCGCCCGCCACGGGCCATGCAAAGCGGGGGGGCGTGGTCTATGCTAACGACGCCCCGTGTGCCGCGCGCGGATTGGCGGGAAGGCGCAGGGATGCTAATGAGGGCGCAGGCCCCGCC